GCCACTACAATACATATTAAATATACCCCTTATTTAGGAGATGCTGAAGAAGTATATTCTGTAAACCCATCTTCTGAAATTACTCAGTGATTTATTACATTTTTGAAAAATCTGTCGTGGTCAGGGACAAAAAACAACTATGTCACAATGTGATATATGGGTTAAATGCAGGGGACACAATTCCTTGTTGTGCACTGTGTGCTTTGGTGTACCAGCAATGACAACTAATCACTTTCCCCTGTCCTGAATGGGCCAAAAAAGAAAAAACATCCAGCAAATGGCAATTCTCTGGGCAAAAATGCCTTGTTGATGGCACAAATGGACAGACCTGTTCAAGCTGATAGATAGGCGACAGTAATTCACATACACACATCACCACCAAGTTATGCAGGAGAGCATCTTGGTGATTTTAAAGTGTCCTAATATTGTGCATCTTATTCTGCACAATATTAGGACACTTTAAAATCACCACAGATAAGCTATTTATCTTTCTCAGGATACATACATCGTTACTACTTTGAGCCACTTGATATTATTTTGCACTATCCTATTGTATATTATTGTAAACTAACATTCTTATTGTATATACTGTATTTCTTTTTTCTTAGATATACATACAATATAAGAAATAGGAATATATATATATATATATATATCTCTGTCTCTCTTACTGCACTGAGCATGTGTATGACAAAAGAATTTCCCTCGGGATAAATAAAGTTCTTATCTTATCTCTCGGGTCCATATTGAACCTTGAAGCAGATCAGCTACAGCAGCAGACGACCACATTGAGTGCCGCTCCTGTCATCTAAGAACAGGACACTGAGGCTACAGTGGGCACGGGGGCAAGCAAAAGTAGACCAAGGATGATTGGAAAAACACTGCCTGTTCAGATGAGTCTTGATTTCTACTGTGACATTTAGAGTGTAGGTCAGAAATTGGCTTAAACAAGAAGAAAGCATAAAACCTACCTGCCATGTATCAACAATTCAGGTTGTTGATGGTGGTGTAAGGGGCATATTCTCTTGGCACACCATGGGCCCCATTAGTGCCAAGTCAGCATTAAGTTCCACAGCCTACCTGAGTCTTGTTGTTGACCATGTCCATCCCTTTACGACCACAGTGTACCCAGCTTCTAATGGCTAATTCCAGCACGATAACATGACATGTCACTAAACTCATCATCTGACTGGTTTCCTGAAAATGACAGGTTCACTATATTCAAATGACCACCACATTCAGCAGATCTCACTCAAATAGAGCACGTACAGGATATGGCAGAATGGGTGATTTGCATCATTGTGCAGCCGACAAATCTGCAGAAACTGAGTGATGCCATCATATCAGCATGGACCAGGAATGTTTCAAGCACCTCACTAAATCTACAACATGAATTAAGGTAGTTCTGAAGGAACTAGCAAGGTGTACCTAATAAAGTCGCCAGCCAGTATGTATCAGTGGTTCGGTCCCATTTACCCCACACCTGGCGTGCACATTCATACGTTTAGTGCAAATATTCAAAGACGTCCCATTTCTCAAATAAACCAGATGCAGCATGCTTGAAGTGAACTTAATCCACACAAATTCTGCATGGAAACAGCCTTTGGCTAAGTATTTAGACCACAATGCACCACATAAGCGATGACTAATATTTACAAACACGAAGTAGTCTGGCAGCTAACTCGGGTCCAACATGCTTAAGTAAATGTAGGTGCGCAAAGTTCTCATGTTCACAGCCTAGGCTACAGTAATGGACAACCAAAACAAATCCAGTCAACAATCCAGTCCACAGGTACAGGTCCTATAGTATCTCTTGTTCACCCCTTCAACTATCAAGGGTGCCCCGTTGTTTTCAAGAAATCCCTGCATACTCGGGCACTTCACACACATTGCGTCTTACATAAACATGCTTCACCAGTGTGTAGTATTTCAGTGAATTTCCCCTTAATTGGGGTAAAAGGGACAAAGCCAGTATTACACTAGAATAAGTGGCGGATAAAATTGCAGTGTCAGCACAATTTAAAAAAAAAAAAAAAAAACTTGCACTCTGCAAAATCATGTATATGTGCAATCATCCCACAAAAGCATACACAAAGAACATTGTGTTTAAGAAAAAAAGATGACTTACCTTTATTGCCATTTTACTGAAGATTATACACAACTATAAGGAACAATTTAAAACTACTTCAAATTGAAATAAATAAAAATGTAAGATTCTACAGTTCACAAGAGGTAATGGGACTTAAGTAAACAAATATTTAAATAAGTTGCTTTTAGTAATGCAAACTTTATTTACAAAACATTTACTTCATGCCATGCACGATGATTCTGGAAAGAATCATTGCTTTCAAGTTAATAAGAACTTCACAAAAGGAAAGTGAGCAAACAGTACAGAAGAGTCCTATATGCTCAAAGAAAGATTTTATATGACTAGTACTAAAACCAAAAGTGGACTTGTTACAGTATACATAATACAGAATTCTGCACAGAGAACTGTACACTATAATCCTAGAATGACAAATGTTTTAGTGGTTAAGAGGCCTAGAATATATATACAAATAATTGTGCCACGATACTTAACAAATCGTCCACATATTATACAATGAAGTTTTATACATGGGTGGAAGGGAAGGGATGGGATGGGATAAGTAGCGACTAAGCAGGTCTACTGGCGGTTGCTCTTTATTCTCTCCAGCCTCTTCTTGAGGTCGTCGAGATTGGTGGCAGGGGTGGAGGAGCGCGAGGGGCTGTGCGAGTGCGAGTGCGACTGCTCCTGGTGGTACTGCTCGCGAGACTCCTTAAGGTGGGACAGCTTGCTGTGCAGCATGTCTGTGGAGGAAGCCACTGATGGCTTGGACAGCAAGGATGTTAGCGGTGGCCTGTCCTCCTCCTCCTGCTGCTGCTGCTGATGGGGTAAGGGGGGGGGGGGGGGGGGGGGGGGAAACACGAGAATCCCTTTCAAGGGCAGACGAGAGCAAGGGGTTTAAACCTCATAACCAAAGCTAGACTGAAAAATCAGGTTTTATGGTATTAATTTTGCCTTGTGCCTTTCAAATCATGGTAATCCATAGTATAGTCATATCAGTAATGACTGCAGTAGTAATGAAGTTAAACACTCAAAAGTAGAACCTATTTAAGCATTATAAATGGCACAATACCTTTGTGTTGTTTTCCAGTCCATGACGTTGCCTTAATATTTTCAACCTCTCGTAGTACACAGCAGGCTTTAGCTCCTCCCCATTGCTATTGAGGGATACGGAGCTGGAATCCGACACGTTATCTGTACCACGTGGGGGGATAACTGGACATTGCAGGAGGAGAGAAAGCAGTCACGAAATTACTACAGTCCTTTTCTGAGGCAAGATACAGTAACAGAGAAAAAGCAATACATAAATACCAACTCCTATAACAAGCTTTAGAGTGGAAATGCTTGGGGACAAGGATCAGTACCAGGGTTTGAAGACTGGCTTCTGGATTTGCCCTCACGCTCAGATTCAATTATACGCAGGCCTCGCTCCACATAGCTCTGGAAAAACTGGGACGTGTTCCGGAGGAAAGGTTCAAGGTCTGCATCAGAGTACCTCTGCTTGTATTCATAAAGCTCAGTGAGTCCCTGTCAAAAGGGAAAGGTTGAAGGGAACATTTACCACCGATTGCCTCAAACCTGCATGTACTGCACAGATGCTACAGAACACATACATTACCTCCTTGGTGTTTTCCTTGGACCCAATCTTTTTGAAGATCTCAGACAGGATATCACTCACTTTTGCTTTAGACATCTTCTCATCCTACATGTAAAGAAATTTTAGACTCTCCCTGAAGACAACTGGATATCATGAGAGTTTAGGGCTACACTGAACATACCGGCCGGATGCTTCCTTTCTCAGTTCCTCTATCGGACTTGAAGCCAGAGAGGCTGCTTGAGTGCTTCACCACTCGCCTCAGGTGTGACTCCAGCTCAGACTCATTCTTATTCTCAATCATGGACAAATGATCCAGGATCTGTTTAAGCACAAATAAATATCCAAAGAAATTTTATGCAAATCACAAACATTCAAATCACGAGGGGCGGCAGTTCTCTTCAAATATTCTATGAAGTTATTTCCAGATACTATTCAACCAACCTCCATATTCCATAAAAAAAGTAATAAGCCATATGTAGGAAATCTGTCCTAATACCCACCCGCATGTGATCAACAAACCCACTAAAGAGCAGAGAGAGATAAAAGTACCTTGGCACCAGTGAGCCGACACAGAGTGTGCAGCAATGTTTTCAGGGTCCTGTGAGGTACGTCGCTCTTCAACTGCTTAAGCTTTTCCTTGGGGAACACCTTCATGAAGTTATGGACATCCAGCAGGATCCGATCCAGGTTGATGCTGCAAATGGTCTCTGGGAGGAACCGTATCATTCTCCACAAACACTGGAAAAATATATGGTGATAAGGGGATTACAATGCAATGCAAATTGTTGAGATGTACAAACCATTCATAAAGCTGAAGCATACCTTCATGACCAGTTCAGAGAACTTTGGAGAGCCTGCTGCAGAAATAAGACTGTCTTGCAACAGCACAAGGAGAGCACTAGAATCAATAGGAATTAGAAGGTCAACCTTTAAATAAATAAATACAAAAACAAGCAAGTACCTGAACTAAGTTTGATACTCTGAAGGAAGGAACACAAACCTCAAAATGTTAGTCTGGTCAGACTTCTCCAGAACACGGACTACTAGCAGGTTCACAGAGCGGATGAGTTGCTGGCCATCCTCAATGTCCTCTACCCGGGCATCCAGCATCAGTGTGATAAGTCCATGCATCAGATCCTTCAGCACGCCCATAGAGGCCTCTCGTGCCAAGCTCTCCATAGAGAACAGCTGAAAGGGTACGCAGAGTTCACTTCATATTCCTTGCTGCTGGATATTCATTTAAAACAGTCACTCAGCAAACCCAAAAACATATGGGAGGGCAAGAAATGCATCAATGGCCCTGGCCTGGCTCTGCACTGCTGGTCAGATGGCCCCTGTGCACTCAAGCTTGTCGTCAGGAGTCCGAGTGGAGCAGTTTGCCACTGCAGAACCACCCCACAGGTAGGTGCAACTCATCACTCCACACAGTGACAGCCAGGAAGCAGCCAGGCATGCATGCTTTTCACCAAACATAGCATGAAGGGTCTGACCTAAGACTAAGTGACAATACTGCACAATTATACAGTTGGGTTACATATTATAGGCTATTCTGGATGAGATGTGAGGGAGGAAATGGTGCAAAGAGGACAGATTTCAGATAACACTGACTCATGCAGGCAGTGAAGGTTATATACAGTCATTCCTAAGAAAGCGGCAATCTGCCGCAATAAGACTGGACTAACTGAGAGCATGTTGCCTATTATGCAGCTGTACAGCTTGAAGATTTCCTTCTTGTCTAGCCGATCATCAGCCATGTGTGTATTGTAGATGAGTCGAAGCTGCATAAAGGTTGCAATCAGGAACTGGTCGATGTGGCCCGACATGGCCTCTGCTTTGTCTTTCTGCCGCAGCACTTCATCAATCTGGATTTTGAGTAGAGAAGAGGGACAAAATTCAAACAAGACCGAACAGAGAAAAACAGAACAGAACCTCAAAGCCAGACAAAGGCATACCTGTGCAAGAGCCTGGATGCTAGTATTTATGTCCCCACTAGCCACTTGTGAGATGACAAAGTTGATGGTAGAAGCAGTGCTATTACGCAGGTCATCAAAGTGAGGAGACACTGCACGAATCCTGCAGACAGACAAACATACAACACAGCATTTAGACAATTTACTCAAACTTGGCATGTTAAACCATGGCACTGTTGAATTCTCAAATCTGATTGGTTAGAAGGGTGTTGATTTTCTATAACCACACAAAAAAAAAAAAAAACTTACATTTAATGTAGAACACAATTAAAAATAAAACAACAGGAACTACAGAGACCTGCGGTCAGTGATTTGACACCAAGTTGATAATGTAATGAACTTGCAGTCCAGTCATTAAGACCAGTTCTTACTTCTCCACATGCATGCATATGATGCGACTGACTTCAATGCAGTTCATCTGTGGTCAAACTCTTGCAGCACCAAGATTTTATGGCTCAATATTCAAAATTAGCAGCACCAGTGCTATTATGGAAATAATGGAGATGATTGCATTGGGCAAAATCAGCCATTTTCTGAAGTGGAGGACGATGGTTTTAGTCTGCTCATTCACCACTTGAGGCCTGAAAGTACCAGCCCACAAAATGTTTATATTTTGGTATTAAATCTAGCCTGTAGGTAGATCTTTTGTCTTCCGCATCACACAAAAGCCATTCAGCTAATCTAAGCCAGCCAGCTGGGCAAGTTTCACATCATTCTGAATAAAAGAAAATTCCTTCTTGTGCTGCACAATGCTATATTCACACGTTTTAAGTGAATTTAAAAGGACAGGGTTAAAGACCAAAGGAATTTAAATATATAGTATAGTACTTTATAAAAGTGCATTTTTTCCCCCCAAACTTGAGTATTTCACTGGATTACTCTAACAATCTGGTGTGGTATCTACTTCTACTTAAGTTTGCAAACTGAGTACTTTTTCCATCAGTTTAGAACATATGCGCATTATGCAGGCTTGACTGCAGAAGAATGAATGGTTCCTACGTGGGAACACATTTAAAGTCCTGTGTAACCTGCCTAAATGGGATTGTACACAAGTCCAGTATCAATAAAATCGGTGTTGGTTTTACCCAACACACTGCTAAATACCAAGAGGTACATAAAAGTTAATAAAACAACAGCTATGTATGTACACATGTGCATGCACATGACCCAAAAACCATCACGTCCACTTATGACATAAATAGCTCTGAATGGCTGAGACATCAATTCAAAAAGACCTCTAAAGTTGCTTGATACCAAGAAGTCAGCAGCAGATCCTTTAAGTCCCTGAAATTGCAAGGTTGAGACTTGCTGTTGCAGCACATCTCAAATATACTCAATAGGATTCAGACCAGGGGAATTTTGTGGTCAGGGCACCCTGAACTCTGCATCATGTTCACAAACCATTTCTGAAGAGTTCGTACCGCGTGGCAGGGCGCATTATCCTGTTGACAGATGCCACCAGCTATCGGGGATATACGTCATCATGAATATAAAATGGCCTGCCATGTCGTGCCAAGAGTCATGCGTCAAAATACCCTCCACAGGAATGCCCAGACCCAGGGTTTCCCAGCAGAACACTGCTCAGATCGTCACACTCACTCCACCAGCTTATCTTCTTTCTACAGTGTGTCCTGGTCCCATCCGTTACCCAGGGAAACGGTGCACATGTACCCGCCTGTCCACACGACGTAAAAAGAAAGGGACTCATTTCAACCAGGCGAAAACCTTCCACTGGTCCTAGGCCCAGTCCCGATGACAGAGTGACCATTGCATACGCTTCTGCCAGTTCATAGGGGTAAGCATGGCCATTCTGACCAGTCTGCCATTACACACACCCATACATAGCAAAGCGTGATGTACCGTGTCGAGGCAATTTGTGCCACAGTAGCCCTTATGTTGCTCCATACCTGACGGTCAGCCTCAGCTGCCACCACTAATCATTGAGCCGTGGATAGCAGACAGTGTTACCGGCTCGTGGTCTTTCCCTCCTCTAACCACCATCAGTTGATATTCACTACCTGTGACCAGCAGCACCCCACAAGTCTTGCCATTTCAGAAACGCTCTAACCCAGTTGTCCGGCCATGATAACTCATCCCTTGTCAAAGTCACTCAGATCTTTATGTCTGCCCATTTCTCCTGCATACAACTTGTCACCTATAAAAACCAGCTTCTTTTTGCCACTTAATATATCTCAGATCTTAGTGCGCAGTTGTTCTGAGATAATCACTGTTAAATCACATCTGTGGGTGGTCATGTTTTGGCTCATCAGTGTTCATACATATATTTCACATTTTTTGCCCCCGCAGCCATGCTTTTAAAAACTTACAATGCACAGCTTGGAGGGCATTAGCCACACATTAGTACCTCAAAACCGGCCTCTGGGTTTAGCAACGGGCGACTGAGCTAATGGCTACTTAGGGGCTTAGACAATTTTCCAGTTAATGGGTGTGGGTTGTATGTAAGCAAAATGTTTAACTGCTGGCAGAAGAAAATTCTACTAATATATGCATTGAAGTTTGTAAAGGTGAAAATGCAAGCCAAATATGTAGTAACCGTGGTATAAGTAGGTTAATGCACTGCAAGCCATGCATTACATATTTAAATGCACTCCGCTTCACATTGGGCAGATCTTTGCCTCTGCAACCGTGTTTAAAAATGCAAATTCACGGTGAGCCACGTATGTACCCTTATCATAATGCCTACCAAGTCTTAGTTTATTCAGTTCAGAAGGGGGGGGGGGGGGGGGGAAATAAATAAAGAAAAAAAAAAATCAACTTGCTTATTCTTCACAGCAGTGGCTTGCATAAAATATTTCCTGTCACTTAACACCACAGGAAGCAGTCATTTGAAAAGGGAGAGCAACCTCAGAAGCAGACACTGCGCGCCCAGAGGAGACTGGAAGTACTCACTTGGGCTCTGGGATCATGACAGGCTCAAGCAGCTCATCCAGCTTATGCTGCACTAGGTCAGGCAGCTCGCTCACTCTGGTGTGGTCGTTCTCGATCATGTCCAGGTCCAGCTGGAACTCTCTCGTGATGGCAGGGGAGGACTGTTCAGCGAGAGCGTTCTGGGCACGTGCCTGACTGTGGGGAAAGTGTACGTCTGTTACATGTCAGTGCGCGGTGACGGAATACCACAGCACGTTTCTGCCAAAATCCCCCTTTACTCATTAAATAAATTGCTTAAGGCTTCCTATGGGAGGGGGTGTGCTACATTACATACTTACATCCTGTAAGTGCGATACATAATTCTGTCCACGGAAAGCAGAGAGAGGGCCAGAAGAGAGATTTCACACATCAGAATAGAGAGCAAGTGAAAGCTAGAAAAGGAGCAGTCATGACATGCATTTAGCAGAGCCCTTGGCTTCTGTTCAGGAGAGCACAGCATTGCGTACTTCAGTTTGTTGGGCGCTTCATCTGGAGCCGGCTTTCGGGCCATGCTGGCATTAGGATTCCCTGGCGGTGCCCTCTGGACCCGCTCTTCCGCCTGGCGAGCTGGAGCAGCTGGAGCCTTCTTGGCAGAGCGCTTGATCCTCTCCTCCAACATGCTCATGTCCTTCTCTGAAAGCTGTTAACAGAACTCCATTTCAAAACTGCTAACCTTTTACTCAGAGAAGGAAAATCAAATATATAAAATCGGTCATACTAGAATTCTTTTTTGTGGAAAACAGCAGTTACTAAAATGGGAATATTTGCAAACCACAAGACAGCACCATGCTACCAAGGATGTACCTTCAGAAGCACTTACATTGCCAATTAGTTTGAAGACCTGGTCCCCGCAGACATTGTATACCGTTACAACAGTGTTGAGAGCTGCATTGCGCACCGACGTGTCCCTGTCCCCAATATGAACTGCTATTTCTTTGAGGGATTTTGCAGGTGTTGGCTGGCAAACATTCATTCCATAAGATTCGATCAGGCAACCGAGTTCTTCCAAACATTCTGGGGGGGGGGGGGGGGGGGAAAAAAAAAAAAAAAAAAAAAAAGATGACCCATCA